ATTTCACACTGCACCCGACCCCTTTGGCCCCTCCTACAGGTGGTGAGCCCGTCGGAAGGGGGACCGACCCACGTCTCCTCTTCGGGCTGAGCCCGGCCGGGCTCCGTGGGTGAAAGCCCGGCCACCAGGCGCTCGCCATCGTGCCCCACCTCCAGGCCTGGCTCCAGAGGGGGGCCCCGGTGACCCGCGTCCGGGCGAGGGACCGCCAGATCCAGTGTTTATATTCATCATAAGGGGTCTTCGGGCTGCGCTTTGTCTGGTTCCTCACCTAGGACCTGTCTGCCATGGGTGACCCTACCAGGGGCATAAAGCCCCAGACAGCATAGCTCCTAGGATCACTGGGACACTCAAACCCCTCCACCACGATAAGGTAGCAGCCCAAGGAGAGGGCATTTATTGATAACATCTGAAAAAATAAAGTGCTTTATGTGCATTGATTTTTTTTGTATATGTTTTGCATTGTTTGTCTGTGTTATTGTAATAAAGAATGACCTTTATGAGTTACACTGATGTTGCACATAATGTCTGTAAGTGATGATACTCATAAGTTCAAAAGAAGTTACGAGTTTGTTTCAGAATTGCCCAGATTGTTTTGGACGTATTTACTTATGAGTAGCTTACATGTAAAGAATGTGAACTTGTGCATAATTTATCTGTTGTGTATCTGTAACGTATGCCTAACTGATCAGTAGCACATCAGCATAAATTTTGTGCTTGTACAAAATTATTGTCTGGCCAACATACAGGGTCTAGACAATGACACTGAAACACCTGTGTGGGAGGTTTCATGGCTAAATTGGACCAGCCTGTTGGACAATCTTCATTAATTGCACATTGCACCAGTAAGAGAGCAGAGTGTGAAGGTTCAATTAGCAAGGTAAGAACACAGTTTTGCTCAAAATATTGCAATACACACATTATGGGTGACATACCAGAGTTCGAAAGAGGACAAATTGTTGGTGGACGTCTTGCTGGTGCATCTGTGACCAACAGCAAGTCTTTGTGATGTATCAAGAGCCACAGTATCCAGGGTAATGTCAGCATACCACCAAGAAGGATTAACTGGATGTAAGATGAAGCTGTCTGAAAGGGATGTTAAAACCAGGTGTTTCAGTTTCATTGTCTAACCCCTAGATTAGTATGCTAGTAACTTATTCAAAACCTACACCTAATTTATGCAACTTACACTGGACAACAAAATTAGCTTATTATGGCACAAGTTGTCTAAAACGTTATTGTGACAGGGCCTTTAAAACTGTGTTACTGAAATAAGAAGGGACTTATTCAGATCTGGGACTCTAAAATGTAGTTTACAGGAGTGATGGTCAACCATTCAGCAGCACTTGTCTGGTCTTGATCTGTTTCTTTTTTTAAGTGTTACCCTGGTATAGTGGGCACTGTATGGAATGGAGTATGTTTTTGATATGTTCTGTATTGCATTCTCCTTCCTCTCTCTCTACTCAAGACCTTGGGCAGAAGGGTGATTCCCCTGCTCCCATCTCTCCCGTCTCCCCTCTGCACTCACCCGACTCTCTGGAAGAGCTTTCTCTGACCGAGAGTCCAAACCAGCCCCCTCCTCAGGGATCTTCTGCACTCTTGGGCTCTTTTTCCACTGAACATCCCCCCAAAATGCTTTGGGAGAGTGAAGATGACCATAGTAAAACAGAGGATGACCACTTGGATTTGTTAGCTGGCCCTTACTTAAGTTTAGGGAAAGACTCAGGGCCGTATAATCCGTGTGAAGACAGTGGTGTTTCTTTTTCACCTGAGGAGAAGCTGATTAGCTCAGATAAGTCCTCCGCTGAACCCTCCAGTGTGAACCCCCACACAAAGGTTCCAGAGTCTCACCTTGCCTCCTCTAACACAACAGAGAATTGGGATTCATCATTCCTGTCATTGCAAGACAATTCTAAGGTCTCCATGGATTCCTTAACCAAGGACAAAACCACCACTATATCCACCAGTTATGAAGCAGTTCATGAAAACCAGTCTGATGAAGATGAAGACTTAAAGTATGAGGTGAAGAAGAAGAATAACCCATTTGAAGATTATTGTCCACTGGCAGATAGTGGTTACTCCCATTTTGAGGAACTGAAATCTGACACCAAGGCCTCCAAATTGTCAGAGAGTCCTACACCAGATTTGGTCCAGTATGGGCAAACTGGAGAATACCAGGAGAATCTATCGTCCATTTTAGATGAGGGGAAAGGATTTGAGACCAGCAACATGACAAATGAGTCTCTCATGCAGTCACTGAATCAGTTCTCATCTGGTACCAAAGATGAAGATGAAGAGGAGGAAGAAGACTCAGCTGTACCTACATCACTTCCAGACATCCTGAAGTCTTTCCCACTCAACCCTGAAAAACAAGATTCTGGGTCTTCTGAGGGAAGTCCAGAAGAGCAGAGTCCCATTCTTCAGCGAAGGATGATGGAGTCCCCCAACCCTCCAATCAACCTGTCTGCTAACAACCCCTTTGCTTTTGACACTAAAGTGTCCCTGCTGAAGGAGATGACAGAGGAAATGGAGGCAAGGGCATCCGAAAACGTAATAGTTGATGAGAAAAGCATTGATGCATTTGATCTAGTCAAAGAGGCAGAAGAAACCAGCCCAGTTAAGGAAAAAGAAGAGGAACCTATCGAGAAGGAACAAAAAGACTGGCTCTCCAGCCAGGATTCTACCAAGGTTACCAAAACATTTGAGCCACTTGACTTCCAGAGCAAAAAGACCACCATTGAAAATTCTGATTCTGAGTCACCAACAGCAGATTCCCTGTCTCCAGTCCTGGAGATTATGGCCAAGAATCCCACCAGCTTCCAGGCAGAAACTGAGAAGGAGGACCAGAAGATGGATGTAGAAGAACCAGAAATGGGAGAGGAGGTCTCTGAGCATGACGTCTCTGAGGAGTTTGAGTTTATTGAGAGACCACCCAGAGGTATCATTGATGAGTTTCTTGAAGCCCTGGATTCTTCCAAATTTGCCTCCTCCAAGTCTCCAGAGATTCCCCTAGTTGATGATATGAGCTTTGACCAAAAGGAACCGGCTCCATCTGCTATTACTCCTACAAAAGTAACTTCACACCCAGAGTCAAAAAATGCTTTAAGTCAGAGCCCTTACCCCACTGTCACCCAGGGATCCCCCCAGAAGACCAAGGCTGAGCTAGAGAAGCCTGATACCCAGCAACCCCCAACCCAAGCTTCTCCCACCCATCCACCTGTTGGCGAACCCGAGGTTATCGCTAATATGAGTGTCCAGAGTGGCAAACTTTTGAAGATGCCAAACCTGAGCATAAGAGCAGGTAAATACAATCGTTGCAGCATGGAAATAATTCATCCCTCGTTTCTTCTTGTTTTAATCATTCAGCCAGCCAACCATTCATCTCATTTCCCTCGTTTTTTTATCCATCAATCCATCCATCCTCCCTCTTCAATTTTAATCAACATTTTATCTATCATTCATCCATCCACCTGTAAGGATTGGCGATCCCATCTTAATTACCATAAAATCAATTCATTTTCTTCCCTTATTTGTTTTTGCATTTTGTTGAATATTAACCTTTGCATTTTGTAGTTGGTGTGGTATTTTTGCTCCATTGTGATAGAGCTATTGGTTTTGGTGCATTGCTCATTTTGATCTCATTACAATATCATCATTTCTGTTCATCAAATATTTTTTTACAAACTAAATATGGTAAGTATAGTTTGTACCTATTTATTTTATGTATTGTTCTGTTAAATTTACTGATAGATGCTGTGAAAACATCTTATTCATTATGAGAAGAAATCTGAGACATTTTTCTAGACATTTTATCAACCCCCTGTCCTAAGACAGGGCTCTGGACCAGTGTTTCCCAACCTTGGTACTCAAGGCACACTTCCCGGCATGTTTTAGAAGTTTCCCTGCTTTAACCCACCTGATTCAGATGATTGCAGTTCGAAAAAAGCCTGTTAATCAGTTATCAATTGAGGTCAGCTGTGTTGAAGCAGGGTAACATCTAAAACATGCAGGACAGTGTGCCTTGAGGACCAGAGTTGAAAAACACTGCTCTAGACTAACTTGTTGCATTGGTGCTCCTAACTCTTTTTCTTAGGTGCACCAACACAAAAGTTAGGTACACCCAAATTTTCAACCGTGTCACATTTAACATCACAGTTTTACAGGTTAGCTTTTTCTTTTTAATCACTGTCCATTAAGGCAATATTAACTCGCAAATAATTACATAGTTAATCTAGAAAAAAAAGTTCCTTTTTTTTGAACCAGACTTGTACAATACACATAACTTAATGATAATTGTTATTGAAAGTGATTCTATGACCTGAAATTTTAACCTCAACATCTTAACATAAATGAAAGAAATTCTACATTCTAAGTGCAAATGTTTTAAGAGCTGAACATCTTATGAACATCTTAAACTGAACATTTCATGGTTAAATGTCTTTTAGACTACACATGGCCCTCAGATGGATAACTCCTGTAGCTTGACCTTCTGCAATGTTTGGCCTTGGCTAAACCAGAATGATGAATAAGAATAATGATTAACAGAAGAAATATTACTAGTTTTTAATAAAAGGCTGTACAGCTTTTTTAAATAAAAATTACAGAACATGAAAAAGTGCAATTTAATTTGCATCAATTGAATCTTATGTATCTCTCACTTAAACAACTAATATGTCTAGTCATAAGACCAATTTCAGAAGTGTGGTGAAGCCGATTATATGTAAGAGTGGCCTGCCATACGCATGAGCTGCTGAAATAATCTGCTGAGCTCCCAGAGCAGAACCCAACTGCAAGATGGACTGAAGAGCAAACAACCGTCCACATTTCATTTCCACAGTTAACAAGAAAAAAAAATGTTTTCTGACTCAAGTTTGCAAAAAACAAAAAAACTTGCTTGTTTCGCTACTTGCACGTGTATGTTTTTGCTACATGGTGGGGACAGTTGACCATTTTCCCGATACACAGAGACTGATGAGGTTAGGTTAGGCTAGGGGTCTGCAACCTGCGGCTCTGGGGCCACATGTGGCTCTTTGGTCCCTCTGCAGTGGCTCTTTGAACAGTTGACCAAACATAACAGATTTATTTTTTTGTTTTTTATTCTCACAACACTAATAAATTGTATGCAAATATGTGATCAATACTACTAATATAAAAAGTAAAACATGTTAGCTCGTTGTTTACCTAAATAATCCCTAAATAATCCAACTTCTTTTCTGTGATTTTTCTCTCAAATCCATCAGGGTTATCTTAAAACACCTTTAGGACTGCATAATAAGAAGAATTAGGGGCAAAAAATGTCTGACTAATTCAGCTGTATTAGTTTTTATGAAATTCTGTATAAACTATACCCAGCATTTTTCGTGTCGTTTTTTTTTTCTTCAGTCCTGAAGTGTAAAAATAATAAATAATAAAATTCACAATATATTTTTTAGGTTTATGTCACCTCCACTGGCCATAAAGGTTCATGAATAAGTCTTGAAAAAGGCCCACGAACCACCAGTTGATAATCGTATTTGTAGCTTATTTTGTGGCTCTGAACACATTTTATTAGTGAGCCAAGGAGCAGAAATGTCTCTCTTGATTGTAAAGGTTGCAGACCCCTGAGTTAGGCTATAGCAATGGCCAGTAATAAAATGGAAGTCAGTGCAACGTCCCCATGAAGATGTGTGTGTGTGTGTGTGTGTGTGTGTGTGTGTGTGTGTGTGTGTGTGTGTGTGTGGTGTAGAGTGGAGCACTGTGGTGATACTGTTAGACTGATATATTAGGGGACGTGGAGACTTTTTGTTTCAACTGGTCGCACCAGTGCTACTGGAACTATGTTTTAGTTGCACCATTAAATCTGGTGTGACCAAATTAATCAAGAATGTAAGAATGTCTATATGTATTTATGTTTTTGCCTATGGAGACTTATTGCTGTTGGATAACATTACTCTGTTTTTGCTTATTAAAATTACGGATGCTCTGATCAAGTTTTATGCTGCTGATTCCACTACAGATAATCTATGACTGCAGGTCACTTATACCAATCATATGGCATGGCTAAAAAATTTAGATTTAGTTCTGAGTCCTACTGGCTGCAATGACTTTGAAAAAAACATAAAACCACTTAAATAAAAACAAAACATGTTTTTATTCAGCTTTTCAAGAGAAAAAAAATACAAGTAACTTACAGGCACAGTACCACAATAATCAATCAAAATAACTGAAAAACACCTAAAGTTACATGTAACAAAATGTTTAACAGATTAAAAACTCTAAATAATGTCAAATAAATCTCACAACAGTTACTAAATCAAATAATATTAAAATGGATACAATCAAAGACAAATGCATGTTGCATTCAAATAAATTTGTTACTGAATCCAAAATACCTGAGAGCACAACTTTTAAAAAAATGTTTATCACTCGTGAAACTTGCTGAGGATGAGGCACCTTTGAAGGCCTCTGCATGGTCCATTTGAACTGCCGAAGTCAGCTCTCATGGTCGCAGCTGCATGATGAGTTTCAGCTCAGTGCAAGGCTTTTTTCCCCTCCTCCTCTGTGAGGCTCAGAGCAAGCTATATCCACCCTGAAGGTTAACCTTGGGCAATAGCCCTTTTAAATGAGCATACAGTAAGTTTATTCTGTACTTACTGCAGTAAAGCAATCATTCAAGGTCACATGTTCATCAATAAATAATTCTAGCTGCAGGTAGACTCAGTATATATTTTTAATTTCTAAAATTATATCAATTTAAGTGTGTATTCACACCAGCCCTGTTTATTCCGCTTTAATCGAACTCTATAGTTTGTTTGCCTGGAAAGTCTGGTTCGTTTGGGGAGCTGTGAACGTGTATCCAAACTCTGATTTGGACCAAAACAGCGAACTCTGCTCCACCTGAAAACATAGGTCTCGATTGAAGTGAACTCGGGGGTTGTTTACAGGGTTTAGTTCTTTTGACACAGAGCAGTGTGAATGTGAACCACACCAACTGAAAATGTAAACAAATCTTTTGTCAATTTTGGCCTCCAGTCGAACCAAGTCTACTGGACTATTATTTATTTCCTTCATTTAACCTTTATTTAACTACCGGACTATCACATGTGAATATGACTTAAAACGTTTGTAAAAAAAAAAAAACTAACAAAAAAAAAAACAAGCCCATTTTCATTTAATTCAAAGTTTTATAAAAGAAAGCCATGAGCATGTAAATATGTTTTCTTTTATTACACATCAGAATACAACAAATAAAAGAAACAGATGTCAAAAATGAAACTGATTGTATGACACTTAGTAAATGTTGATCAGATTTCAGGATTTCAGTAGCCCCTTCACAACTGGAGGTATGGCAGATATTGGCTGTGTCTAAAACGACAGGCCGGGTCCTCCGGAGGACCCAGACTACCTGGTCGCGGCGGGCCGGGTCCTTGGTAGACCGGAAAGACTGGAAAAAAAGAGGCTGTGAATTTGGACGGTCTAGCCTCCCGTCCTTACCCCGGCGTACGTCATGTCACCTAGCAACTGTGACGACGCTAAACAAGCAAACTTAAATCAAAATTAGAAAAATAGCAATATTAATATCACAAAACTATAAAATTAACTTAAAGGTATAATTTGAAGAACTAATTGACCAGCTGTAGGTTCATGTTTATTTTGCGTTTTTTATGACGAAAAACTAATATTTAAAAACATGTCCATACAAATGATAAAAGTATTAGAATTACAACCGCTAATTTTTTTTAATTTTTATATCACCATATTTTTATTTAAAATGTATTCTTTTCTCTCGCTTCGTCCGCCATTACTAGCATAAAAAAATCTCCGTTCGGGCCGCAATGCATTATGGGATACGCTGGGCCGGGAAGGATCCATCAGACCAGTCCTTCGATTCGGGCCAAAGGAAGGACGTATTTGTCGGCCACATCGGAGGAGTCTTCGGTTTTGGACGTCCTTCGTCACGGCGCTGTGACGTATGCGGCTGACAAATTCGGCCTTCGGAGGACCTGTCCTGCCGTTTTGGACACAGCCATTGTGTATTTTTCTCCACTCCTAAAATTCAAAAGGCTTGAGACCTAAAAGATTTTCTAGCAGGCTCCACTGTTCTGGTTTCAAATCCGGTATCTTTTGCCTCTCTGTGTGACAGAGTTGTCAGACAATGTTGCTGTTACAGGCTTAAGCAGTCGGCTTATCATAGTACAGTATGTACTGTTCCATCTAGTACTAATGTCTTGAACAAGGCTGTGCTCAGGTGCGGCCATTTGTTGTTTTTCTTTCAATTTAGTGCAGGCCAACTCACTTTTTTTAAAATGTTCAACTAGATAT